TTTTCTCTATCCATAGGTGACTGTCTCTCATCTTCCAGGGCTCACATTGAATGTCACAGCTTCAGAAAACCTCTGCCAATTCTCCCTCTCCACAAGCCCCTCCACTCATTCACAGTAAATGTTCGTTAAATAAGCAAAAACCCAAGAAAAATAACAACAAAACCTGCCCTAAGTCACCTTCCTTCTCATCACCTGTCAATGAGAACCAAAGGCAAGGACAGTCTTCTGAATAATGCTGGCAATAAATGGACATTGTAGTAAATCATGCATATCACAAAGCCAAAAATCCACCAGTTTAAAGTAGAGTGGAACAGATGAGAAAACAAACTGACACCCTGATTATCTTATTTCTGATTACTAGTTGGTGGACCTTGCTGTAAAACACCTCCATCCCATTAACTTTTTGTCAGAGAACCCTATTTGCTTCCTTCATAGTAATGGTCACAAATGATCTTATCTTTGTTCTTTGTTCTCTGTCTTCTAAATCCCCAGCATCTAGCATATGCTTAGCTCTTGGTGGACATACACACAGGGCCTTAGCTCTTGTGGTTCCCTCTGCTGGGAATGCCCTTCTCCCGGACACCCTCCCAGCGGGCTGCTTTGTCCCTTCCTGCAAGTCGTCGCCCAAATGGCACCTCACTTCCCTGTCCCTGGGCCCTCTCCAGCCCATGCCCTGCTGTGTTTTTCTCCTTGCCCTGTTCTTGTCACTGCTTGACATATTACCAGCACAGTAGAGTTACCCACAGTATTGATGTTATTTTCCTTTATGTCTTTTTTGCTTCACTTATTTAGTTGAATCCTTTTAAGCAAAATATACTTAAGATGTCATTTCACTGACCTTCAAATTGACTTTTATATTGTAGGTGGCAAAGAGTAAAGGCACGTCTGCTACCTTCATGTGGTATGTCCTATTTGGGTATCTTTTAGAAAATTAATCTACAGCTCTATTCATGACAATTGATTTTGATACCCTTATATGTGGGAGAAATACATTTAGAACTAAAATTAACTTAGTTAAATTATTGCTTTGTATTGGGCTCTAAGTATACATTTATAAGGCCTATCGCAAGCTTTCAAAGATATATTTCATGAAAAACTTACTTCATGTTGGGGAAAGGCATCCACTAAAAACTTAAGTGTCATCAACCAAAAATAACTGGATACGCATGTATTAGAGATTTTCTAAGACACATTTTGTGTGTTCATTTGCTTGTCTCCCCAATTTTTATAACAGCCTAGAAGGCAGATACTATTATAAAATCCATTTCACAGTTGAGAAAAGAGAGGCACACAGATGTTCAATAACTCGCCTAAGGTAACACAGCTATTAAGTGGCCAATCCAGGACACAGAAGCCTCTCAGTAAACATTAGTTGAGGTAAACTTGTCACCATATTCTGTCATTTACTTGACTTCCCCTTTGGCAAGTCTCACGGGTGCCTCAAACACAAGTTCCAAACCAAGTTGATGATCTTCTATTTTACTCCCATTCTGGGTCGTCTCCCACCGCCCTCTGGTAACGCTAGCCAGAAACTCAAGAGGCCTTGATTTCACCCCTTTCCTCACTAGCCACATCTAACCTGTCACTTGGTCGCGTCCTTCATTTCTCCAGAATTCCTCCATGGTTCTCCATCCTCAGCCTCTTTTGGGCTGCCATCATCTCCCTCTTGAACTGCTGCTGTAGTCTCTAAACTGATCCCCGTGTCTTGAACTTGCTCCGTTCCATTCTCTAGGTGGCAGCCAGAATCATCTTTTTCAAAACACAATTCGACACTGTTCCACTCTACTTAAACTCCGTCATTGTCTTTCCCATTGAGTTTCAGATAAAGCCAGAATTCTGTCCATTCTTCCCAGGTGTGATTCGGCACCCCGTGCCATCCAGCCTCCTCATGGCCGCTTCTCTCACTATGTTTGCCTTCGTTTAGGTCTCTGAACCGTCCAGGCTCCCTCTGGCCACAGACTTTCCACCTAGCTAGCTCCCTCTGCCTACCCCTAGCCTCTGAGAGCTTTTCTGCCTCCTCTGATGAGGCTCAATCCCCTAGTAAGTAATTTTATTTACACAGTAGACACTCAATAGAGGTTAGATGCACTTTTTTTCTTTAAAATATTGGACCACTTTAATTTTCTTACATAATAACTATATTTATTTATAGTGCCCAGCTTGAACATAGTTCCTGGATCTCATTGTATACAGATGAAAGTTTAAAAATTAAACTTCTGAACCATGAGATAGATTGGTTCCCATTCAAGTAATCCATTCACATTTTACCTACTTTACTGACTGGAATGTGGTACAGTATACTCTGCACCCCTGACCTTCCTTTCCATCTGTCTCCTGTAATAATGTAGCTGTGGGCCAGGCGCGGTGGCTTACGCCTGTAATCCCAGCACTTTGGGAGGCTGAGCTGGGTGGATCATGAGGTCAGGAGTTCAAGACCAGCCTGGCCAACTACTGAAACCTCATCTCTACTAAAAATACAAAAATTAGCTGGGCGTGGTAGTCGCAGCTTCTCGGGAGGCTGAGGCAGGAGAATCACTTGAACCCAGGAGGTGAGGTTGCAGTGAGCCAAGATTGCGCCACTGCACTCCAGCTTGGGCAACAGAGTGAGACTTCATCTCAAAATATCAAAATAATAATAATAATGTAGCTGTGTTTTCAAGTGTGGCAGGATGGCTTCTGTTGGAAATTTGCCCTTTTAAGTTAGGAAGACAGGCCCCCATCTTACTGCTCTCTAGAAGCTAGTCTAATAGAACAAGTAGACTCAAGACAACTTGAACTAAATGTGCTATAAACCACAATGGAAAAACTGCAGTGAGGTATTCCCAGTAGAAATCTTGGAATTCCTTCAAGTATATTGAGATTTTGTTAGAAATTGAATTGCCAGTGTAATCCATCTTCCTTGTGAGAAAACATTCAGATAAAGAGCTGAGGCCTAGCAGCATTAACCATTAGAATATCCCTTAAATCAATAAGCTACAAATCTGGCTGCACATTCCTGCCGCGCCTGGTGGTGTGCTCAAGTGGCTTTAGACTGAAGCAGCATGACTGATAGCACATCCTAAACCAGGCAGACGCTGGCAATGCAGATTCCTGTGTTGACCCGGGGCCTTGCCTTGTTACATTCTACAGAATGCAATTATGTTTTATTGTTACACATAAGAAAAGCAGTTTTTCTTTCTGTTTTTCAGATTTTCCAAATGTGATTATTGAAGGAGTCCTCCATGGGATATTTTACCCTCATCTACAGCCCAGGTAGAAATCCTACATGGCTAAAAGAAGCAGAAGCAAGTTTCAAAGTCACAGTCACGGAAATCAATACCTACCAAATTAACCTAAACTCTGTGATATATAACAGCTCTAGCTAGTGGCAAAATTCACAGTCCCAGCTTAATTCAGGGCAGGGACGTTTCCATTAGAATGGTGCTTTTAAAAATAGAAACTGAACTAGGGTGGTGGTCAGGCTAAGGCCAAGTGTTTAAGAAGTAGACTGTAGCTGCCAGCTTAGAAACCCGTGGAAAGGAGGCCACGGGAGATTCCTGGGAGCACTGGGTGTAGCAAAACAAAGCCACTCTCTAAGTCACACCATTTGCTAATTGAAAAACGTGTCCTGAATCATACTGAGACTGATCAACTTTGGTAGCTTTTTTGTTCAGATCTTATGACATACTACTCTTCTCACCGGGAGATTTTCTCAGCCAGTGATAGTACATTCTGAAATGCTGGCATCAGGAGACAGTCACAGACACACACTGCTAAATGTGAAGAAGGAAGTAAACTGGAAATTAAGTTATACTGATAATATTATGGCATTTTTAAGATCATGGCATTTTAATTTACATTAGAGTGGGTTGCATCATACTCAGGGGTTAGCTTCCAAGGTCAGCACATAGGTAAAATGGGCTATTAGGATGATCCTTGAAAGCCCTTTAGAAAGGTGCCATGTTGGAAATCTGTACATCTACCACAAGTAGCTTTTCCTCCCAGGTTGGAAAAAAAAAAGAGTGTTTCTTTGTTTGAAGACCAAGTGAAGTTGCTGGTGTTTATTTAGGGGCCATTTTGCATAAAAAGCACATACCTTTAAACACTAGAATCATACTCAGTGCTGCAAGATGCTTGCCCTGTGAGTGGCAGATGTGAACTGACGAGGAGTGAAGCACCAGCGGGCGGACAGCACCCACCTGTGTTTACTCGGGGGACCACATTCATCATAGGTGGGACCACCACAGGACTTCCGGTTACTTTGCTATGACTTCCTTTTCACTGACCTCATGTGTTAATGTAAGTTAAATGTGTTTATGATATAACTCCACTCTACATCATGCTTTGAGTAATAAAGGATAAAAGCATATATACTACCTACATGTATGTGCTGTATGTGGGCATTTCATTGAGATTTAATTAATAGCTAGCCTATTTATGGTTGTTCATTTTAATAAGTTTGGGGGGGGAAGTATTTAAAATCAAAACTAATAACTACACCATGGTTTTTGATTAGTATCTAAACATACAGTTTTAAGTCTGCTGCAAACTTGTAAAGATATGTTATGATAGATTCTGTTACTATATGTTGGAAACAAGCAAGAAATAATCAAGTGGTGTTAACCAAAAATAATGGAATAGTTGAGTATTGGAGTTTTTTTTTTTTTTAATGTTTTTATGTTATTAGCTATTTGGAGTTAAATAAAAACAGAGAACAAGAAAATATTTGAGTTTGTCTTCTGCTCCTAGGATTTCATTGGAAACATGGTTTGTATCTGTCTGTTTACACACACAGCCTCTCACACATTCACATAGATGTTTATAAAAAGTTACCTTGTTATTAAGTCAGTAGATGTTCATTAAATATTTGATGATTTACCAAGATAATAAGAATTTTTCTTAAAAAGACCAAGTATCTATAGCGATATACTGCCCAAGAAATCTTTTTTGAGAATTAAATTTTTTCTTAGTGATGAGTTTTACTTTTTATATTTATGTAAATTTTTTTTTTTTTTTTTCCATGTCAGGTCATATGCAGACATCATAACAAGATTTGCAGGAGGCACACCTCACACAAGGGTGGGAAAACCCAGTCATCATGCCTGTGCACTACAAAAGGATCGTATTTATTTACATTTTTAATGTGTAATTCTATCAGTCAGGGTTATTGAAGGAACTAGAAACCATTATAGGTCTTTTAAGCAGAAAACGCTGTAATGCCAAAAACTGAATGCTTACAGAATCTTTTGGAAGGGTGAGAGGAGTGCACTCCTGGTAGATGTCCATGGACAAATTCTAGAATGCCCCAGCAACTTCTAGCACTGACCTGCCTGGGAGCTACAGCCTGTGCCATAAGCAGGACTATAGGGAGTCAGAAGGCTGTGAGCAAAGCTGTTAAAGTAAAAAAGAGCATGAGAGCTGCAATCCAGGGATCAGCAAGTAGGATCAAAAAGTACCTGTTGTCTGTGAGATATGGAGCTCCCAGGAGATACAATGGCGATATCTCCAAGAGGTACGGCCTCATAGCAGGCACCCAGGAAGCTGGTGACTGGGCCTGCATCACAATTGCCTCTCAACACCTGTGGCCTTGCTTGCCAGCAACCATAGCCCAAAGTGGCAGGAAGATGGTGTTCGCCCACTCGCACCTCCCACTCCATAGCTCCCTTCAACACACATCCAGTTTTTAGAACCTTATTCTCCATCCCAGGTGCAGAGAGTCTGGAAAGGGGCTGCTAGCCTTCTGCAGCTCAGGAATGCACTGGGTAAGATGATGGAACATATTTCCATCATTTCCATGGTTGAAAATTTAATAAATATATAAAACTATAGATAAAAAAATAAACTCTTGTCTCGTCTTATCTCCTGCATACCCAATTTTCCCCCCACAGGCAACCATGGTACATTATGTGTCTACTTTGAGTAATATTTCATCTACATGAATCAGATACTGTATATTTTCTGTACATATATTTCCCCTTTTACAAAAATGGTAGCATGCAATACTCATTGCTTTCCATCTGTTTTTATTTAACACTATCTTGGGCATTCTTTTTATATCAGTATATAAAGCGCTATCCTCTTTAAAAAAAAAAATGTATGGGTTTTCTATAATTTATGTAACCAGTACCATTTTCCTTTTGGATTTCACTAGCCATGTCTGGCCCATATTGCTGTACAGGTTGTGCACTGTGCAAGTCCAAGCAGTGCTGTCACATGGACCACAGTGTTAATACTATTCCAAATCATGCTTGGAACCCTGCACTTGGGAAAATATCAAAAAATTAGATCATTCAAACCATGGAGTCACAGGCAATAGGGAAGTAAAGCACAGAGATAAGAAACCAGAAGAAAAAAAAAGGAAAAAATCCCATTACCATTTAAGTCAGGATGTGGGGACATCCCACTCTCCCACCCCCTGGTTCCTGGACTCGGTGTTTTGCCTGGACGGTCTCCCGATGCTGCCTTATGCAGTGCCTCTCAGGCCTCATCTCTGCCTACCCATTCTGCATATTGGCAGCCCTTGTGTCCTTTCTCCTGGTGTCCTTGTTACTGCCCCCATTACAATCAGCCATGTGAACAACCCCAATAACACCATGGTCATCGCTACATGGTAAGTCCTACAGTTACAGTTATAAGCTCCCATTGGAAAAGGCTGAGCTCTCATACTCAGAGTTTAGAGAAATATCATGATCACACTTTTGAAATAACAAATGGCTTTCATCTCATTTGCCAATTTTGATTGATTGACAATGGCTGCTTGAAGTGCTGTGATAAGAACTCTAGCACGCTCATGATGATAGCTAGTATCAATAAAGCAGAAAATAACAAGTTTTGGTGAGGAGGTGGAGAAATTAGAACCCTTGTAACTATATATTGCTGGTAGAAGTGTGAAATGGTTGCAGCCTCTGTAGGAAATGGTATAACTTCTTCAAAAAATTAAGCATAGAATTGATCCAGCACTTCCACTTCTGGATATATACCTAAAAGAAGTGAAAGCAGGGACTCAAACAACTATTTGTATAATGATATGGTTTGACTGTGTTCCCACCTAAATCTCATCTTGAACTGATCATGGTTCCCATAATCCCCACAGGTCATCAGAGGGACCCAGTGGGAGGTAATTGTATCATGGGGGCAATTACCCCCATGCTGCTGTTCTCATGATAATGAGTGAGCATAAGGGACTTTCCCCTGTTGCTCGGCACCTCTCCTTTCTGCCATTATTTGAAGAAGGATGTTTTTGCTTCCCCTTCCTCCATGATTGTAAGTTTCCTGAGGCCTCCCCAGCCATGTGGAACTGTGAGTCAATTAAACCTCTTTCCTTTATAAATTACATAGTGTTGGACAATCCCTTATAGAAGTGTGAGAACAGACTAATACGTATATCCATGTTCAAAACATATATTCATAGTAGCCAAAAGGTGGAAACAACCCAGGTGTCCTGCAATGGATGAATGGATAAAAAGGGAGGAAATTCTGACACATGCTGCAGCATAGAGGAACCTTGAAGACATTCAGAGACATAAGCCAGTCACCAAAATGCAAATACTCAGCTGGGCGCAGTGGCTCACGCCTGTATACAATCCCAGCACTTTGGGAGGCTGAGGCGGGCGGATCACGAGGTCAGGAGTTCAAGACAAGCCTGACCAACATGGTGAAACCTCGTCTCTACTAAAAATACAAAAATTAGCTGGGTGTGGTGGCACGGGCCTGTGGTCCCGGCTACTCAGGGGGCTGAGACAGGAGAGTTGCTTGAACCTGAGAGGTGGAGGTTGCAGTGAGCTGAGATCACATCACTGCACTCCAGCCTGGGTGACAGAGTGAGACTTCATCTCAAAAAAAAAAAAAAGCAAATACTATTTATGATTCCATTTCTATGAATTATCTGGAATAGTCAAATTTATAGAGACAGAAAGTGGAACTTTGGTTGCCAGAGGCTGGGGGAAAGGAGGAAATGAGGAATTAGTGTCTAATAGGTTTCAGCTGGGGAAGATGAACATGTTCTGGAGGTGGATGTTGGTGGTGGTTGCTTAACAATGTAATGTACCTAATGCCATAGTATTGTACACTAAAAAATGGTTAAAATAATTTTATGTCATGTATATTTTTTCACAATGAAAGCAATAGAGGCTTTCGAATGAGTGCAGGCCCAGAGAGTAAGGGCGTAGTGATCAATTACCACTGTCTGTCATGGGTGCAGGAGAGCTTTTGGCACACATACCAGTTACTAGTCTCACATTCCTGGCAACCTCTACAATCCTAAAACAGTAGTTCTAAATTAGAAATTTGCATCAGAATCATTTGGGATTCTGAATCAATAAATCTGTCCAGGGACCTGTCCTTGGGTAGTTAGAAACACCACCCAGTTGACTCTGATACACATCTGTGTTAGGGACCACCAATTGAGGGAAATGGTTTATGACCCACCCTTTAGCTATCTCCTTGAATTACTGACTTTTGTAACTCCTTCAGAATCCAGTACCAAGAAAGCATTTGTTCAACCGTTGGGGTGTTATATGAGGCCACTAGAAGAGACTCTGAAGAAGCAGCAAGGACAAGTTTAGGTACTGGTCTCAATAGATGCCCTGTGCATAATTGGGAGGTTGTATATTCATTCATTCATTGTTAATGAAATGCATTTGGGTTCCCCCACTGGATTAAGGCACTGTGTTAATCACTTAAAGAACACAGTCGTAATCCTTGTTTTCTGGAATTGGCCATTTACTTGGAAGGGTTTTTCCATCTTAATGAATTGGACATGAAGTTCAGTGATTAAGACTATCTTCCTCCAGCCTCTCTATTCTCCTTGCAAGTCATCATTTTCATTTTGGCTTTGTTTTGGTTTTTATCCTTGATGATAATTACAGATTTTGAATGGAGCAGCAGAAACCCAGGGAAGCTGCAGGCACTAACTCAAAACCAAAATGTCTGCAACATTTTTCTGTCTGTGGAGACACATAGTGACAGACTGGATTCTGATGAAGACAAAGGGGCATCTATTTTTGTGTGATGGAAAGGAGGGCATATTATCTATGTCAAGTCATTGGAATACATATAATTTACTAGCGAAAATTTTGTGTCCTAAGAGTGTGATTGTAAATCTGGCCTATAAAATGTGAACCATTTTCTGTCTTCATTGCACTTAATAGTAGTTACAGTGAGATCATTGGTGTCCCTAGCTGCAATGTTCTATGCCATTTAAATACTCCTATGTACTAAGTTTCTACCGGATGTCATGTGTTGTTGAACAAGGGTTTTGCATATTTTATCCCGTTCTTTACATGGTAGTTTTTAGTGCCCCCATTTTTTTGAAGAAGAAATTGAAGATCAGTGAGATTAATAAAAATAAACAGTAGCTAACATGAATGAATACTAATTTGGGGACCAGGAGGTACTGGGCTAAATCGTGTTCACGGTCTTATCTCATTGAAGCTTCACAACATCTTTAAAGATGTGTATATTCTTATTCCACTTTACAGTGAGAAGAAGGAAGCTTAGAGAAGTGAAATAGCTTGACCAAGGATACCAGTTAATAAGGGATCTGGATTTGAACCTTTGATCTACAGAGCTTGGGTGAATCCACTCCCCAATCAGCCTCACAGTAGGATTGTATTTATGTATGTGTGTGTGTGTGTGTGTTTAATTGGAGACTCTTTGCACTGTCATCCAGGCTGGAGTACAGTGGCATGATCTCAGCTCATTGTAGTCTTCACCTCCCGGAATCAAGAAGTCATTCTGCCTCAGCATCCCAAGTAACTGGAACTACAGGCACATGCCATTACACCCAGCTAATTCGTGTGTGCATGTGTTTTCTGCAGAGATGAGGTTTCACCATGTTGCCCAGGCCAGTTTTGAACTCCTGGGCTCAAGCAATCCTCCCATCTCAGCCTCCCAACGTGCTGGGATTATAGTCGTGAGCACTGTATGCAGCCCATGTGCAATTCTGAACCAGACATGAACTCTTAAATCGGAAAGAACTGATATTGCAATAGCTGCTAATGTTTCCACACTGTTAAAAATTGCAAAGCACTCTCCCATCTCACTTGATTAAACCAAGCTCCATGCTAACAGCAGCCTCCTCCCAGGGCTCTCTGCTTTCATTTTTACCGCAATCCATTCTT